TCGTTATAAAGGATAAGTTTGACTGATAGTAGCGATGATATCTCTGACTTCTCATCACTTTTCAAGTTTTACATTTATTTCAATATTTTTTTTTTTCCGATGAAATCGATTATGCGATGTTGATAACCAGCGCTTGGTTCGAGCCACTGTTCAACGATGATCGAGTATAATCGCTGATACGTGACATCACTAGTGATACTGATATATATAAGATTATACACTTAGTGACAAATAGATTTAAGTTATTCAACTCCAGTATTATATATTAAACATATATAATAAATGTGGCTACACAAGCTGCCAAAAACTGCAGTACATACACCCAACCCACAATCCGAAAACGCCCAACCCCTAACTCATATACGCAAAATCACCACACTGCATCAGTAGTAGCATGAATAGAGGAAGTGAAAAAGCATCATCTTAAATACAGCCACAAACATAAAGACAACATCAGTAGTAGCAGCTGCATAAAATGCCAACAGTATTATCACTATTTCAGCGACAGCAACACAAAGTCGATGCATTTGCGAAGTTAGCACGCAAGCACCGTTACACACTAAAAATTGATGACTCATCATTGCATTTTCATCCGCAAACTCGCGGACACGAGCAGTCTCACCGAAAAACAACGATGCATTACTCACTCTGCCCTGTAACAAATTCACGACAAGAGTATCATCTGTTAAAAAAAAAAACCGAGGCATTACGCGCTGATTCGTCGCGCACGCTCGCTGGTATCGCTGACGCGACAACGCTAGTTAAGCCGATTTCCGAACTCGCCACTGATAAAGAATAGAACATGTTCTAATTCTCACTAGGTTGCTATCGGCCTTGTTTGAGGCTAAACTTTACGTTTACACTGCCGACTTTCGGTTGATTAACTAAAAAGCTGATGACTCGTACAATTTTCAACAGAAACAATGACAGTGCAAACCCAGCTTACGCTACGCAGACGACAACGATGATCGGCGACCGGCTAATTACCGCGCTTTCCGCAAGTGAAAAGGAGGCATTTACTGCAATTTCGTGCGCCAATTAACGTTTTAACGTTACACTCGCCGACTAACGCTACGACACGACGCGATTCAAAAACACCGCAATATCGTCCGCGTAAACCTCATTACACCGCGACTAATGCGAACCGAGACGACGCTTGACGACGTAATTAATTGACCGGCTTTCCGAACTCGTTCACGTCTGTTGTCCTCGCTTCCGGCACGATCGCCCATCAGCTGCGCGAGTCGTCGACGGCGAGCATCGATCGACGGCCTCCAGCAGCCGTGGGCGTCAGCGCGCTGAAAACTTCGTGAAGATCCTTGATCCTTGAGCTTGCTCCTGCATGCCGATGCAGGGTCCGCGGAGTCTCCGGCGAGATCTTGATGCTCCCTCTGCCACCTGTGGACCAGCAGCGTCGGCAGGAGCGTGAGCCCAAGGAGCTATATATATCGCCCAGCCGGTGCGAGACGAAAGCGATCGCCGTGGCAAACTATCCTGTTACTTGTTACATACCGAGCGTTCCTCGTGGCAGTACCAGAGGACTCCCCGACTTACGGAACCACTTCGATGTACGAACTTTCGATTGATCGAGAACCAATTTGCCCTGAAGTCTAATTAGTGTATAATTGTCTATATTGAATGTGAATAACAAAAAAACACAATCGCCCCCTTGATTCTGGACTTCGCCAACTTCCTGTGTTCACGCTAAGATATTGTTTAACCACTACTGTACACTTCTAGCGTTACTCAATGTTCACCACGTACATATACTAGCACTACATGCTACAATACTGGTATACGAACGTGACATATGTTCGACTTATGAACGACGCTCGACCGAACCTGTCGTTAGTCGGGAGGCTTTGTACCTCATTTCTAAGCAACGTTGCCGCAAGATTCTGCGTAAATTAGCAGGGTGCTATTAGGGTTAGGAAAACTAAGAATTTCTCGTATTTAGCAGGCTGAATGCAGGTAAAGAAAAAACGGAAGCATTACCTCATATTTAGCCAGCCACCCCGGTGAACGAGGGTAAAGAATAACGAGAATTATCTTGTAATTAGCCAGGCTAAGCGAGGTTAGAAAAACCGAGAAGTCTTCGTACTTAACAGTAAAACGTGTTAACTTGAACACCCAATGTGCGGTTAAGAAAAAGCGTGCTCTTTCCTGATTGGCACGGTAGGCTTTTCCGAAGAGCGCTTGTTCGCTTCGGATGACCGCGTATGGAGCCTGTTCTGAGACGTTGCATTGTGATCACTCTCGAACACTCGTTTAAACGGTTACAAATAAGTTAACACCAATTAACACAACTGTCCTATACCACAATGTACCAATGAAAACGTGGATGAGAGCGTGGAAAGGGAGGGACAGGGGGAAGGAGGTGGAGAGAAAGGGAAGAAAGTGTGGGGAGCGGAGCGGAGGGAAGGAGTGTGTAGGAAGGGAGGTCGAGGAGAGTGGGTCTCTCAGGCGAGGAAGCGAGAAGCTGGAAAGAGAGAAAGCGAGAAAAGGGATAGAAACAGAGCAGAGAGAGAGGGAGAGAGAGCGAGAAAAAAAAGGGGGGGGGGAGATTTCTTGGTTGAATTGCAAGCCACAACATACTACCAACACAAATAGGAAAGTATGCATTTACAAATACAGGGTTTGAAATTAAAGGCCAGACACTAACCTGTGCATAGATCTCAGGTAAGGCTTTTATTAGCTCTTTTTTCTTGTTGTCCTTTCCAAACATGGACGGCATCTGAGCCTTCAGTTCACTGATTATGTATGCGTGTACCTGTAATAATACATATAACAGCCTAAAGTAAATATTCAACAAAATAATATACAAAGATTCAAAGATTCAAATATGCAAAGATTTACAGTCAAAATCTGTACGTAAAGAGGCACTCAAAGGAAATCTCAAAATTTCACTTTATAAATTTCACATTTACCAGCTGTAACAACACATATAACAAGCCTAAAGTAAATATTCAAATATGTACAGTCAAATTTGTACGCAAGAGGCACTCAAAGGAAACCACAATAATTTCACTTTATAAATTTAGCTATATGTGTTCTTAGTTGATGTCACGATCATCGATTATACTCGATCATCGGTTGAAACAGGTGGCTCGAACAAGCGCTTGGTTATCAAAATCCATTAAATCGATTTTCAGTCGAAAAAAGAAAAAAAAATCGAAATAAATGTTAAAACTTGGAAAGTGAATGAGATCAGAGACTATCATATTGCTATTTTAGTTCGGGAATCACCGACATTCGCCCGTAGTTACTTCCTGTTGAGGGGCCTTAAAGCGCTAGACACACTAGGCCGATTTTATACGCTGGCATAAACAAGCACATACTGACACCACGTGCGATGCACACGACGTTACGCACACGCACGGCATTCAACACCCCGGAGTAACGATTGCTAACCTCGCCATATCATCGGTTACTTGGGTCCAACGATGTCGTTACGAAATTAAATCGATTGACAACACAGACTTGTTCTACAGCGCGAGGTTGTCACTACTGAACTTGTAAACTAAAGATATTAGCCAAAGTGTTGCTTATAAATATGTAGGCCTCCATTTTATATAGTGGTGCTTACTAACACAGGTTGCAGGTGTTAAAATCTAAAATAATGTACGATGTCTTTTTAATTTCAAACAACATTCTTTCAGAGAATGCAAGCCGGTCACTCACCAGGCTGCAACATTGTACCTAACATTTAGCCTAATGAGGAGATGTGTTTCAAAAACTGTTATTAATTATAGAAAGGCACCTTATCGTAATCATAATTGCTTAGGTTTTTACATGCAGTTTTGTCAACTCATTAATTAAACTTAAATTGACTACTTTTTTTAAGTAAAAACGTCTTTTATCAAATTTGTTAACTTCTCCGGGTTTTTTTAAAAACAGATGATACTCTTGTCGTGATTTTGTTACAGGCAGAGCTGCGCAGTTAACGTGCATCATTGTTTTTCGGTGAGAATGCTCTGTCGCGAGTTTGCGGATGAAATGCAATGATGAGTCATCAATTTTTAGTGTGTACGGTGCTTGCGTGCTAACTTCAGCAATGCATCGCCTAATTTTAGCGATGACTTTGTGTTGCTGTGTACATAGTGATAATACTGTGGCATTACATGGTGGCATTTGCAGGCGATGGTAGGCGGCTTAGTCCGTCTGCTAGTTGATTTTCACGACCTGGTCTGTAGACGATCCTCAGGTTGTAACCTTGCAGTTTAACCATCAGGCGTTGCAATCTTGGAGGTGCGGCTGCTAGTGGCTTGTCGAGGATCATCACTAGCGGCTTATGATCGGTAATGGCTGTGAACATGCGTCCATATAGGTACATATGCCATATATGGAATCTCTGGACTCCAAAGACTACTGCCAGAAGTTCTCGTTCGATGCAGGCATACCGTTGCTCTGTTGGCGTCAGGCTCTTGCTTGCGAAGGCTATAGGCTTCAGCTTGTCGTCACCCGATGGCTGCAGTAGGGCTGCTCCAAGACCACGTAAGCTCGCGTCACACTGAACGTAGGTTTCCTTCTTCGTGAAGAATCGCAACAGCGAGTTATCAGAGACAGTGTTCTTAAGGTTCTCGAACACTTTCTGGTGGTGAGCTTCCCAAATGAAATCTACGTCTTGGCGGAGGAGATCTCGTAATGCAGCGGACTTGGTGCTGTAGTCTTCGATGAAGCAAGATAAGTAGGTCATAAGGCCAAGAAACTGGTGTAGCTCGGTCTTGTTGACGGGCTCAGGCATGGCTCTCAGATCGGCGACTTTCTTGGGGTCAGGTTTCATGCCTTGATCGGTGTAGACGTTTCCGAAGAATTCAATGCTAGACTGCTTGATGGAGCATTTCGGCGAGTTGAAGACGAGACCGTTAGCTCCGGCGACTTCCATCAAGTTGAGCAGGTTTGTGTCATGCTCGGCATCGTTGTCTCCATATACGATGATGTCGTCTGATATTCCACAGACTCCTGGGCAACGTTCGATGATTCGATCCATTTCAAGCTGGAATATGTCTTGGCTGACAGAGAGGCCAAAGGGAAGGCGACAGAAACAGTATTGACCAAAAGGCGTTTGGAAGGTTGTGAGTTCCTGGCTTTCTCTATGCAGCTTGACGGCCCAATAACCGGATTTAGTGTCGAGCTTTGAGAAGACCCGTGCAGTTGCGAGTTTGTGGTTTATGTCGTCAGTCGTTGGTGTGACATGACGAGGCCTGATGAGAGCTCGGTTAAGGTGCCTTGGATCTAGGCATATCCTGATGCTACCGTCTTTCTTGGTAACATACCATACGTGATGGAGCTAAGTTGCTAACCCATCCATTCGGTCGGTTCCTCGATTCGGCGTATGACACCTTGTTCGACCATCTCATCCAGTTTGGCCTTAATCTTCTCCTTTCAAGAGAGCAATTGGGTACGTCTCGGTGGATCGACACTAGGCGGCGTGTTTGGATCAACAGCGAGCTTGTGTATGGACTTAAACTCACCAATTCGATCAAAACGGTTGGGGTACCGTTCCTTGAGGTCATCGATGGATTTGATGACTGGCTTACTTGTGACTGTAGGCTGTCTATGCGCTGGAGTTTTCGCTTGCTCTACGGCACAGTGCAGTGT